TCTAGGTAAACATATAAAGAATATATTCCTTAATACTAGACTAAGACTGGTGTCATTGCGATGCCTGCACGAGTTTGGTCAAGACAAACGCTTGACAAGACAAGAACTAAATACAAACCGTGACTACAGATACTGGTCTAGTGATGGGTTGATTGGATTACTTGGTGTAACCGACACGGACTGGGATGGAATCGCTATGTTAGTAGAATCCACTGCTACATCAATATCATCACCACCACACACATTGTCCATTGGTGACTCACCGATAACCATTACTGGGATAAAGAGATTGATGTCATCACTCAGTACAAACTGTTCAATCACTAGACTGGAGCTGTGGTTGTGTAATTTGAATGATGAACATGTAAAGTGTTTATGTAAAGATTTACAAAAGACAAAAATAACTGAGCTAGACCTGGATGGTAATAAGATAACTGATGGTGGAGTGTATGACATCATGGTACACTTACCCAGTAATCTCACCGAGCTAGACCTGTCTCGTAATAACATATCTGCTAAATGTAAAAAGAAAAGTAGACAATTCTGTAGTGATAAATATCCTGGTCTTGAGTTATACATATAGTAGATAATTCAATGTTTGACTCTTGTAGAGTTGTAGTGATACAAGTAAACCAAACACAACAAAAATCACATCAAACTATTTATTCATCATTTCTTAGTTTTCTACAATTCCTTACATATTCTTTTGTAAAAATATAAGCTTATATCAAAATGTATGTTTTATAATTTTGTATGATAGTTTTTAACATTTTGTAGTTGATAGGATTTTTTCAGTTTCAGTAAAGCTGAACTTAAGCTTAAGTACAAATGAGAGGACATGAAAAACTTTATTAAGAGTTTTCTCTTGGGTTTAGAAAACTTGAATAATAATCTTAATGTAATTTTAATACATTGTACATAGTTGTAGACTAATATAACTCAATGATATAGTAAAAATACAATTTTTTTTCTAGTTTGGTATTTCTTAGCTTCAATAAAATTGAATATGGATTTCATGTCTTTTTTCTTTTCTGGGCCCAAAACAACCAAAGTTTGGTCAAGCTATGACAGAAATATTACATCTTTCTTATGTTTAATTGAAAATTTTGTACTTGAAATTGATTTTGCTGTTGTTTTTTGAATAAAACATGAAAAAAGTTGATATTGTGACAAAGGTGCATTCAATTTGTGAAGTCAGTTACTTTTGAAGCAAACTTTGAAATTTTACACGAAGTACTGAGATTTTCCCGTTTCAGAACTATTAAAAAAACCCGTAAATTCCGCGTTCTGAGCAATGGCTAATTTATATTCAACGGTAAAATCTAAAAACTGAACTGAAAACTGGACTGTTTTCAGACCTTTTCAGTTTCAGAAAATTTTGCAAAAACGGCTTAAACTTAAGTTATGTGTTGAACAAAAGAATTACAAAGATTAATTACTTGATTGTCAACAAACTACATGTAAGAATATGGTGATGTTTTAGTGGTATTTTGATACCAAACCTTGCTTATCTGGTCTTGCATGTTAACCTTGACAGTCAACCTAGAAAGATGAAAAGCAATCACTCTTTAAAAGAATGTTTTTAACTAAAAGTCTTCAATACGGACTAAACTAAGAAGTGCCAAAATCACTTACCGTTTGTCAAGGTATTTTTGTAGCATGATATCTTCACAATTTAAGTGTAAGTTGAGCATAAAATATCCAACAAAAGGACAAGCAAACCAAGAAAACTGTGACGACCTCAAACTCACAAACCAAACTGACGCTCGCGCACGAGTCAAACAACAGATAAAGGCGGGAAAATAATACTCGATGCTGATTGGACAGATTTTCTTCCTAAACCTGATATTGAAAACACGTCTGACCATTTAGCTACCTGAGAATGCAGTTTATAATTGCATTTATGGCTTAGAAAATCATCTGTCACGAGAACCCCCTCCAAGTCACAGGCCTGTGTGTGGGATAGAGTAGTAGTTTTGTCTGGGATAGGGTAGTCTTTTTGTCTGGGATAGGGTAGTCTTTTTGTCTGGGATAGGGTAGTAGTTTTGTCTGGGATAGGGTGAGTTTTTTGTCTGGGATAGGGTACTAGTTTTGTCTGGGATAGGGTAGTTTTTTGTCTGGGATAGGGTAGTAGTTTTGTCTGGGATAGGGTAGTAGTTTTGTCTGGGATAGGGTAGTTTTTTGTCTGGGATAGGGTAGTAGTTTTGTCTGGGATAGGGTAGTAGTTTTGTCTGGGATAGGGTAGTTTTTTGTCTGGGATAGGGTAGTAGTTTTGTCTGGGATAGGGTAGTAGTTTTGTCTGGGATAGGGTAGTTTTTTGTCTGGGATAGGGTAGTAGTTTTGTCTGGGATAGGGTAGTAGTTTTGTCTGGGATAGGGTAGTTTTTTGTCTGGGATAGGGTAGTAGTTTTGTCTGGGATAGGGTAGTAGTTTTGTCTGGGATAGGGTAGTTTTTTGTCTGGGATAGGGTAGTAGTTTTGTCTGGGATAGGGTAGTAGTTTTGTCTGGGATAGGGTAGTTTTTTGTCTGGGATAGGGTAGTAGTTTTGTCTGGGATAGGGTAGTAGTTTTGTCTGGGATAGGGTAGTTTTTTGTCT